GTTGTAAACACCCTGCTTATGTTACCAAATGCATTTAGCCAGCTGAGTAACGCCTGCATTTCTGTCAATTTATTTATCATTACTGTGACGAAGCTATCTAAAATTTTCATTTTTTCGTGCCCTCAAAACCCTTGAGAAATTGAACGTGCACTTGATCTAATTCATGTTTAATCTAAAACACGAGTTCTTGCTACACATAATGCCTGTCCATTATTATATAGCTTAAGCTAAGATTTACGTAATCGCTCAGGGAAATTTGTATAAAGGTCTTCGTTTCGATATGCGGCCGAACCGTTTTGTTTGATTATTTTATGTACTAGAATGGACACGCGAAGTGTACAGCTACAATAAATGTATTTCGAGTCCTCCTAGGCGGTTACTCCAGGCAATCCACCGTTAGTCTCCATCGGTCGGACCTTGCCATTGCTGTCAGTTTATTGGCAGCAGTGGAACCGAAGAACTTAACATGCTAGCTCTCGAAGAGTCTGCAGCAAGCTGATAGGCTCGAAGCGTTGGTGTGTGACAGCAGCCATCTTGCTAAATGGTTGTAGGAAGCGAGACGCTCAGCTACAGTCCGATAGTAACCATAGGAACGTGTTGTATGACGTGTGAACTCTTCGAGCAGCAAAAGATGAGAAAGCAGACGTTCATCTGGCCCAACAAGCTCTCTGGAACGCACTAAAACTTGTTTACAGCCATAGGGTTTTTTTTTTTTTATTTATTTTTTTTTTTTAAAAATAATATAAGGAGGAATATAAGAAAAATAGCGAAATCCTTTGCGAACCCGACGTCGTACAGTGTTCGGATTCAGGAGCCTGAATCAAAAGGCTAAAGGACCACTATAAGGTATGATCAGTTCTCCAGATCTACGTAGTCCCACAAGTTGTCGTACTAACGCTGTACGTTATCATGTCGCAAACGGGAATACTTTCAGATTAGTTTTTTGCGTATTCGATCGTCGATTTGCATTGTGAACGCTGTAGAAATTCTCATGCCTTAGCATGTGTCAAGTCGTTCTTATTTCCCTTTGACAGCCAAGCACGGCCAGCTGATATCGCCAAAGTCATTAAAATGGCAACACCCCGCAAAGAGGCAATGAGGAAGAAAAGTCACAGAACGGGCACTGGATTGCCTGCAGAGCATCGGCGGGGATTCCATTGGTGGCCATGCTCCAGTGGAATGGCCAGATTGAGTTGCCTTTGCAGGATGGAAGGACCGGGCGGTTTCTACTGCGGAGACCCAGGCTGTAGAGTTTTGGGCCACGAGGTTGCAGCGATTCTCCGTGAACTACTAACCGGCGGTATTTACAGTCTGCTGCTAAAACCATCTGTGCTTTACCGAGACCGCTCACCGATCGATAATCCATTACTTCGCGGAGCGAAGCGTCTGGCGACGACCCGGAAGTACGCTTGAAGCTGTGCCATTCGCTAGAAATTTAAACCAGGTCGGGAAAGGCGTCTGCTCCAAACGCTCATAGAATCACCGGCGCGTCCTTCCGCCAAGGTAAACATGGATTTTAAAAAGTCGTTTCATGTCTCGGAAAAGACGATTTTATTCGTACTGGTAAATAGAAACTGTTGATTTGGTTTGGTTCGCCTTTTCCTGGGCATAATAAAGACCTTTTCCGTCCCTCAGAACGGTGGTGTGGAACGATAGAAGCTCTCATTACGAATAACGTAAGTCCTTTCCGGGGCCGTTAAGTCTAGCAGTATACAGCGGCGAACAACACTCAGGGCCACCACGGCCCACCCAGAAACGAATGGAGTGGTGAAGCGAACGATCTGCACGGTCACGAAGCATCCTCCGTGAGTCTGCTGGCAGTGCCGGGCTCCTCCGTCGCTACAACGCTTGCAGAAGTTCTCACGATACATACTACCGTTAGTGAAGCCCTAAACGGAATTCCATTTAATTTTCTTTACGGATTTGAGGTCGTGCTGCCAAACAAGCTACTAGATTCCTGGTCAGCCAATATTTCCAAATGAGAAAAGAAATTCTGTATCTAAACCGCGGAGAGATATCTATGGTCGGCCTCGTTAATAGAAGCGAGTGCGCGAATACAGCAACCTTCTCGTATCAAACGCTCCGACCGGAGAGGCCGTTTTCTTACGACTCCCACATATTGGAAGTTGCTGCTCAAATTCATCCCTGGATGGGACGTCGAAAAGACCTTTGGGGTACCCGAAACGTTGAGCGGTGGATGAAGGTGTTCCGTCCGATAACATGGTCGCATGAAATAGACGCAGAAAATAAACAGTTACGATTTATGAACTTTCGGTTCCGACTGGTTGTATATACTCCTTTGCAGCCGGCCAGTTAACATCTAATCTCTACCAGTCGAATCTTATCAAGCCTGCAATACTAACAGTATTATTACATGGACGCTGAGGACGCCGGTTTTCGATGTGTTTTTGTGTTTCAAGTTTTTATGTCCGGTATCGCCATTAGGCATAGTTGCATCAGACGGCTCACTCTCAGCAGGAGACGAAGTGTGTCTACGCCCGGATTCGGACCTAGACCACACTGACTGCGCAATATTAGCACGCAGATACGTTATCCACTAAGATCTCACGGGATATGTGAGAATTTGTCCTACAGATAGTAACTCAACCATTCAGCTGCATTACCCTATTTATTGTAACTTCGTTTGCTCGCTACTACCAGAGCTCAACCTTTCGAATCGTGCAATAGGCCTGACTTGCGAACTACTAATTTAACCCTCGATGAGCTTTCAAGGTCGCCATGCTATTTTTGTACCGCCCACATGCAGGACTTCCCATGGGTTACATATATGAAGTATACAAGACATCAAGTATGGCTCTCCGCTGTTTCCAGTATAATAGGCCTTTAATAACTGCTGGCCGTAGAGGTTGGTTGGGATGTGCTAAAAGAACTTAGTCGAAAGAGAAAAGGCTAGCACGATAAATGCATCATTGTGTATAGCCGACACTGCTGGCAACAGATATGTTAGGTACTTTCGTTAGACGCTGTTTCAGGCAAACTCTATTAAAATACACATGGTAGCCGTTGCTATCATTCCGGGCCCTATACAACTTTTCCTTTTGAAAATAAACATTTATATATCGATTACCATACACTAACCTGCCAAATTGTCTGGAATCAAGTCGTCATCACGAATTACCCTACAATAATAATAATATGAAAAGTTCCTCCATTCGCTGCTGACTATTACACATCGGTCCCCTGATCACTTAAATATCCATCGTGATATAAACCCAATGAGCATTACCGGCCATTAACACAACTGTAGTAAACTCCGTTCTCATCAGAATTATAATCTACTTTCCCATAGCTTTAATATGAGAGGATTACGTTTTTCGGCCCTAAGAGACGATGCGCTACAAATAACGTCATGCGGCTTGTGTCAAGATCAATAACAATGTTCGGTTTCTTATAACGCACAAGCTATGTTTAAGATGTTCTCTTATGGTGCAATAGAAGTTTATTTTAGTTCTACGAATGCAGTTGTCAAATTGAGTAAAGCAACAGTTTCATCAACATACAGGTAGATTAGTTGATTCCATTTAGCAGTTATTTTCTGTCAGAGAACGTCGAATTTTTCGTCACTGCCTGTACGATAACGCTCTAGACTACTTACGCTGCATTTAGAATCAAAAGAACATTAAAGGTACAAACAACGCAGTGTGTTTACATTTGACTTTTGAAATGCTTAGGTAGGAGGAGCCTTTGAGACCAACGGTCTACCTCGTGCACATTCCAATGGCGTCAATCGCTAATGCTGTAAACGACTTTATTCAAAGACTTGCCCTCCGCACGCCTTCGAAGGCGGCAAAGCTCGCGCCTACCCCCTTCAGAACCGTTCACACTCACTGGCCCAGTCGTAAGTGATGAGCGCCCAGTAAAAAAGCGGTAAACGCCGATTTCAAAAACCGAGTGTCAAAGAAACCATTTCGATTGAAAAACAGAGGGACTAGAGGCCGGAAAGGAACTGGGCCCATCCACTGGTGCCAAACGCATCGCAAATTGAATCCACACACAGCGGAATGAACAAATGCGCCGGCGTAAGCGACAAAAGGGATATACATTTCTAAAAAAAGACGTGTTCCAACGTATTCACGTCGTGCGGAACAAAGACGGCTGCTTGCCTCCCTCCCTGGAATAGTGTATCTTTTGGGATTTTTGGCCCAACGCCAAATTAAAATCAGCACAAGCTCGCTAGCTTGTCCACCAGGCACATAAAAGGTTTTTTTTTTTAAACCTGGCGCTGTGCCTGGTCCTTTGGCTTGCAGTAGTAGATAGGGAGAGCCTTTGCGCTGGGCCGAGATTTCAGACAAATTTGAGGTACGCCACAGCGCTACAGGTTTTTTGCGCTTAGATCGTCTGTGTCCGTGGAAGCCAAGGCAATCTATTCTCAACACACGCTTGTCTTCGTTTGTGCGCGCGTAAACGTGAGATGAGTCTACTCTATCTCACTTGATTGGTCAAAATAGCTGCGGCTACTGTGTTACCAGTAACGTTGGCAGCAATCTCAGTAACATAATGAAATTTCTCGCGTGTGGCACACCTTAATAGTCAAGCAAAATGATATTAGATATATGAAGACACACTGCTGTCGTGTACCAACATGTCGAGCCGTTTTTAAAGCAGAAAGCTCGGTTGTGTTGTAGAATGATAATAACTATATATGTTTGCTTCGCTTTTTATTTCCCAAGTCTAATAACTATATCACCCACAGCTGAACTTGCAAAAAGTTTGAGTGAAGGCATTTATTTAACTACAATAGAAATTGTTCTTGCTTTTGGTCTAAGATACACCTATAAAAAAAAAAAAAAAAGATTTCTCATAAATGTCTCCCTATGTCCTTCGCCAGATAAATTCACGACTCAGAACTGCTTTCTTAAAGGAAACCGTATTACAGCAATACTTCCTTTCAATGTATTATCAGATTATAATTAGTTTTCTGTTATGTTCTTGATTATAGCATTAACCGTTCTTCTTTATCGATTTTTCTTTTCTTTCAGCGTTTTCAACGACAATCACCGCTGTACACGAGGACTGAACATCTTCACAGCCGAATATTCGACAAAGCGTCGCACTGGTGATTCACCAGTCGCGTCATTATGTCGTCGCTACCGGATGGAGGCTAGATGCCTGAAAATGCTTTTCGGTCCTGTCGCAGTCCTACTTCCTTGGCTGCCAGCCCGCGCCTCAGTTTCTGAGACGGGGGCTAGAGCCCTGATCAGTGGCTGCAACAGTATCCGTCTATTACTCGTCTTTACCCTGCTTCTATTTGGTGACATCTGCAGCGGGTTGGGCGGCACTAGCACCTCGTTTAGCTTCGGATCAAGCAGCGGGTCAACCTCTTCCTATCTACCTCCGCACTGGCTGAGTTGGAACAAAAGTATCCGCACGGTGCAAGTGGCACAGGGAGTTCTACGAGGCCGAGTGCTCTCCGTTCGATCGCCGGTCACGGTGAGCACCAGGCTTCGGGACGTCGAAGTGTTCCTCGGAGTCCCGTACGCTGCACCGCCAACGGGTCGACTACGCTTTCACCCACCACAGCCGCCCGCAAATTGGGAAGGGGAACGCGAACTAACCAAGATGCCTCCCTCGTGCATACAGGCCTTCCCAAATATATCCGGCGGCGAGGAACAGCTCAGCGCCCGAATGTCCACCGCACGACTTAACTACCTGCGTAAGATGAGGTCTGTTGTCGATGGAAGCCATCAGAGTGAGGACTGCCTTTACCTCAACATCTATGTCCCAGCAAGTGAGTGTGATTGATATGGTATTATACTTATAGGCTTAGAGAACAATCTTGTAAAAAAAATAAATAACAGTTCGATTTCCGAGTGGCCGACACACATGTTAATCGTATATGATAAGTCGCGGTGTAGTGGAAAAGTGTCTAAGTCTTCCACTATCGAGGATTATTAGTGACTTCGATGCCTCACGTTCGCGCGATCCAGTGTAGATAACAGCGCTAGATCGTATTATACTCGTATAATCCTTAAGGCATCTGCTGTGAATTTAAATTTAAGACGTGCAATAAGATGACTGGAAGGGTCAGCTATAATGGATGAATGGATTCGTCTAACGAAAGCTGGGCGCTCGGCTGATAGATAGCATGAACGCATTGTTCATTTTTCAGCGTTGCAGATGTCGGAAAGTCGTCAATTGCCAGTTCTGGTAGTGTTATCGGCGGGTGACTCGTATTCGTGGGGCAGCGGAAATCATGTAGATGGCTCATTAACGGCTGCCTATTCGAATGTAATTGTAGTTTCTATTAACTATCGGCTCGGAGTCCTCGGTAAGTTAGCCAAACGTCACAACACAGCTAGACTGTTAAGTTTGCTTAGTCTATGAATAAAACTTGAACGATGCTTGAGAACTATGCTCGACTGCTATATTTGAAGTTTGCAATGATTTTTATCGCAGTTATCGATGTCACAGTCATCTTCATCTGGCTAACGGCAATCGTGGTAACTCTGCCAGTAGACGTATAACTAAAACTATTTGAAGTGAACAGCACCGAACCTTATTTTATTAGTCTTCATTTTGGAACTTGAGCTCTCTTTCAAAACCGAAGAGTAAAAAAATTACACCAGACATTCTAACATACACGAACTTCTTAATTTCGTACCATTTTTACGACATACTACCTTTTCATGATCGTTATCAATACGTTATCACACTGAACACAGGGACACACCAAGAGACCAACTCCGGGTTTAAAAGCACAACACTAATTGACCAGCACATCCGGAAAACGCAATGACATCTGCCACTTCTTATCAAATACTCGTCTAAAACGCTAATTTGATTACCTCACTCCTACAAAGGTCGTGACTGCTTAGATCTCTGTTGAGGTTATAAACGCCATTCGATCATGGCCATGGTGCCATAAAGGGCTTGTGGGCCTGCTGTCGATGTTGGACCGGTGGTGATGATGATGAGTGGTTTTCTCCGCTGGCGTGATCACCTTTTCTTATTCGACCTTTTCGTTGTGTAGGTTTTCTGTCTTCAGGTAGTCCTTCGTCGTTCTCAAATGTGGGACTTCAAGACCAGTTGATCGCTTTACGCTGGCTACGAACCAATCTAGGAGCATTTGGGGGTGACCGGGACAAAGTGACCTTAGCGGGAGCAGGACGTGCCGCTGCCATGGCACACCTGTTAGCGATTAACGCACGAGCTGCCGGTAAGTACAGCCAACAGTATATCGGAAAAATCAAAACTATATACGCATACATAAATATGAGCGAGAACACACTGAAACGCATGGAGCGGTATTCATCGACAAGGTAATGCAGAAGGAGACATTGAACTTTTTTTAAATTCTCATTCTCTATTTCTTCGTATTATTCACGAGATAGTAATGCTAACGATTTTCCATTCGTAATGTAACGCAAAGCTTAACATCAACACCCTCTGTATCTATGTCCTTGTTAATTCTTTAGCTAACCAAGTTGGATTTAAGGGAAGTAAACGAAGATAAACAAAGGCAAATATATTTGGCTCGACAGAGCTGAGATACAATGGATTGATTGAATTTTACATGAGCTTGTTTCAAACGGCCGAAGCTACCACCATCAAGTTAGCAAATGTGGGATTTTAAATAACTTCAACCATAAAATAGATAGTTTCTTCCAAGGCTACTGTCTTAAATAAAGTTTCAAATGCATTTCTACGATAGCCGGTCTAACAGATGCACGCACATCTACTTATTGAACGTTTTGGCTACAAGTAAACGTCACTAACTATTCAATTAATTAAATTGTGATTAAGCGATTCTGGGTACATTTATCTCAAAAAGGGTGTTGTTGACCCACTTTTTTTTTCCACCGAGTCCGACGGAGTCGAATGACTTATGGCGGCTAAATAATTGCAAAGCTTAAAAGTCAGCAGTATCATTTTTTGCCGAGTTAACGCTAGCGGCTCTATGTGTGGTCGCTTAACCAAGCGTGTACTGCAATTACTAAAAATTACGTACAACTTAACTATACAATGCTCTAATGGACGATACAATGAACACTTATTATATTAATCAGAGCTTTACACCTCTGCTACTTAATTCCAGATTTGCTACGGCGCCTAGTGCTAGTTGGCGGTAGTGCGTTATCTTCATGGGCCGTTTGCACTGACGGACCAGAACAGACATTGCTGTTGGCGCGAGCGTTGGGCTGCAAATCTGAACGTACTAGTTCGTCATTAGAATCACCAATGGAGTGTTTCAGGGAGAGTCCTGTCGAAGAGCTTGTAAGAGCTTCGTTAACTCTTCAAGTACCGGATCACCTTTGCGGGCCATTCGGTCCCACCCCGGATGGAGATATGGTCCCTATAGATGTGTACGAAGCGTCACATCCAGAGGGACGCCAGATACCATTTTCACAAATTGACCTTGTCGTAGGCGTTACTAAATGGGAAAGTCTACAACTGTTTAATGACTACCAGCGTGTTCATGGAATCGAAGTACGTATCGGAGAATCGTCAAGAACAAGACAGATTGAAAAGAGCAGTCCCTCTAGTGCACATTTGTTCGTACCATGTAAATGTCAAAATTAACCTTTGCAATAAGCGTGTGGACAGCAAAAAGCACGTAATTTTATCAACCTCACTACAACCGTACTGTTGAATTCAAACGACATTGTTTTTTTTTTTTTCGAGACTTCAAATCAGCACTTAAATATTAGGCTAATACGATTGGAAATCCTGATCAATTTCACTTGTTGAAAACTTCTGGTAACAAAAAGTCTAGAAATAACCTAGATTTACGGAAACTAACATAACTCCTCGTAACTGTACTCGTATCCGCTTTCTTTCAGCTCTCTTTTAAAGAGAAGACCCTACGAACGTTGATTCGCAATCTTTTTGTGTACCATCAAAACGAGATATTGTTTTCAGTGTCGAATGAGTATACGAATTGGTCCCGGGGTGAGTCGTCGACGCTTGATATACTTCAAGATACCGCTGACGCTTTATCAGATTCGACGGTCGTGGCGCCTGCAATTGAGGTCACGGCGCTACACTCCCATCTAACAGCTACTGGGTAAGATTCAGAAGGAAATGGCACTGCGGTGAAAATATATAATGAATGAAAATGAGTATTATTATCATAAACACGATTCCTTTTATCTCCCTCTTTCTATTTGTTTGTAGCAAAATTCAGCGCTCAACGCATCTATTCGTATTTTCGTATCAGAGCAGCAACTGCGATTATAGTCATCTGTATACCTGTACGCCGGGGGCAGAAGATGCGTTTAATTTCCTTCTTGGGGTGCCGCTACTTGATGCGCTCCCTAGTGTCAACTACAGCCGTCAGGATATGCAAGTCTCTGAGCTCATGCTCAACTATATCAGCAATTTCCTACGGACAGGGTGAGCGTTTAAATAAAGTAGACAGTACACGCAAGGATATATAGCCATATGTAGGTCCGTGGATCAGCAAAACAATCGGAAGCTAGACATGACGTTTTTTGACCAGGAATACGCAACACCACTAGCCAGCATATCACACTGGCGCTGAAGACGTACTTCTGCATGAACATGCTACAACATATAGATATATATATATATATAGATATACAGAAACATTTAGCGAGTACAGATTTACGTATGTACTTATGCGTCCCACGCCTGAGCAGACAGCCAAATTCGAGCACGATCGAGACGTTTGAAACGGTAACTCAGGTGCGACCATCTCGACCAGTCACCGAGGAAATCTCCTGGCCACCGTACGAGTCCGTGCATGGAATCTATCTATTAGTTGGTAAGTCACGGTTGGCCTAATGCACGACCTCTAGTTTCACCGGCTCTTAAACAAAAGGCCTTACGTTCGCAATCGTAACTAAAAAATTGACGATTCATTTATCTCTTAAATTCGTCAACTAACTCCATTTCGTTACTTCCGGAGTCGCTGTTCATATTTAGCTGTGTCAATCTTTAGCCTTCTCCTTATATCTGCGCACAGATACCAAACCACGTTCACTACAACATTTCGAGGCTCATCGAATGTCATTGTGGAATCGACTCATACCTGCGCTGCATCGGCCCGACATCGTTGATAGTAACGGTACTCTCGTAATGGTCGGTGACGACGAGCTAGACATCAGTGAAAATCGAAAAGGAAACAATGATGCCTCGGAGGGGCTCACTTTTCCCCGCGGTTATCCGCTTTCGCAGAGCCCATTCGTATTCCGGTTACCTTCTCTCGTCACGCTACAATCGACATCGCAGCCTCAACAATCGATACAACCACGACGCGTAGCTTTCGGTAAGACTGGCCAGTCATTTTCAATAAAAGATTAATACGGCGCCTTTTTTGCTACGCTAATAGTTTTCGCTTACCTTTCTTCAGTTTTGCTTCCTAGTCATTACCATCAGTAAAAGTATTATAATAACCCACACTGTGCTGACATTTTCTATACCTAATGAGTGTAGATCCTGCGTTGATGGCTCCAGTATCCTCGCCCATGCCTCCTTCGGAGTCCCCGTCGGGCAACAGCGCGACTGTTTCAACGCCGTTGGACCAGATTATGCTGTCTCTCGAGAGTCTGGCTTCGGGACCCTATTCGAAGGCATTGTTCATCACGATAGCCGTCGGCTGTTCTCTGCTTGTCGTTAATATATTGGTTTTTGCTGGAACATATTATCAGCATCGAACAGAATCAGATCATCACCAAAAAAATAGGAAGACCCAGCACCGAGTAAGTCATGCGATCGAACGACCGTTAGCTATAGATGAACATCTTTTCTTACGCTATATAGCATTCTTCAACGGTGATCGCGTTCAACCATACGGATCGCGTTTATCGGACGAGTGACACACTATCGACCGACTATCGTTCTATATGTTCGTATCTGTCGTACGTTATCACCTCCCTATGAAACTCGAGGGGGTTAATTAGGAATTATATAGTTCTTACATGTGCGTGCTCCTCGTTTGTAAGTTTGTACTCTATTTTTGCACAAGGAGAATTAGGCAAAAGTTGTTAGTAGCTTAGCTGTACGTGTACGGCGAAATTGTGATGATTGTATGAAATAATTCATTATCCAGCAGTTAAAAAACCAAGACAGGGTGTTCAGTCAGCCTGTCGAATCAAAATTTCGGTTCGAAACGGCTGTGGCGGAGGGGTCGAAGCTCGAATTAGGTGAGAATAGTGTGACATCAAATGCCTTTTATTAAATTGGCTACCTTTTTACTTCTTAGTAAGTTTAAGGCGATGAGACAAACTTCAAGAGGTCGCCAAAGTATTTTATAGCATCATTTGCGTCGCCAGCGATCCCGTATAAGCTCGAATCATCGCGTAGCTAATGCGAGGCTTTTCCATGTATTAAAATTGTAGTTGATAGTACAGAAAATAGCGTACCAAATCTGGGACTAAGTACCGAAATTGGGCGGATATGTTAGCGTATGTTAGTCATGGTACGTTAGTTTCTGCTTTCCTACATCATGTTAGCAGCATCACTAAGTTGCCCCTCATAACTCATATATTCACATATATGAGATCTTTGGTCCCCAGTCATTCTTTATTATTTGTTTTGTAAGTATCGATCTACATTCCTATCATATCACAAAATAAGGTGCGCCATTTTTAACTTCACCTCAAGTTCCACGTTTGGTACCCGCCTAATACTAATATACATATACATTAAAGTGTACGAAAAGGCCAGAATACGATATGTAAACTAAAAAACAATTTGTTTTGACCCTACTACATTCATTGAGCTTCAATGAAACTCAGCAGTAAATGAGTCAATATGAAATATTGAAATTTCTGATTTTACATAATGGCACACATCTGTGTTATGATAGATCTATCTAATAATAATATCCCTGCCGTTACAGGAGGGCATCAGAAATGTAGAGCACAAGATGCCAGCCACTTGTGCAGGACATGACTCGCCAATGATGTTTCATCTACAGCTCACGGAAAAGGCCTCGCAGAAAAGCAACGGAAACTACAATGTACAAATGTTTTTATCTATACTATTCTAGATAAATACATAATTTAGTCAGCTGTGATGTATATTTGTTTTATTCTATTCTAATCTTCACTCAAATTTTGCGTCGTATTTATTTGACAGCATGTCGAATTTACAAATGATGAGGTGCAACTGGGAATAATTAACTTGTACAATCTTGGAGAAGGACATCAGTTATTAGCTGAACTTACCGATGTCACAGCGTCACCTCTACAGGTAAAACTGAGATATCTTTTAGATCAGTAGTGAAATGTTAGTTAGCTTGCCTTTTGGTAAACGATCGTAAAAAAGTAGGTACTTTCATTGGCCGGACGTAGCTACAGACATGCTTTCTACCTGAGTGAATATTAAGCGCCCAGTTTTTTTTTTAAGTAAACCGATAATTTTTCTTAATATTAACAAAATTGTAGTTTTTTACCGTCTGTAACGACATACTGCAAATGTTCTGGGCTACAATGTGAAACAATTCCTGTATGGCGCTGCCAGGTCTTCAGTAAAAACATATAAATTCAGGGCATCGTCTCATGTGGCCTGGATTAGATAGATAATATGGAAGCAGTATTTTTGAAACCTGTATTTCTCCTACCTAAGACATAGTATTAATAAAACTATTAAGTGACAATCGTGGTCGTTTCTATTATTCTACGTCAGCTATTATTATACTGCGTTTAACTTAAAAATAACCTTAAAAATGTTTAATATCGTGTTGTTAAGTAGCTATCATTCCGCATGGGAATCACACGAAACGGTGGCAGTAGTACTAAAAATGAGGACTTTTTCTTTGACCGAATGCATTGTGTATTAAATTAGACGTAGACAAACCCAAGACAACGAACAAGAGAAAGCTAATTTAATTAGTATCATAGCAGACATTAGAAGAAGACTGAAAAACCCTATACAGATTTTTCTCTATATTAAAGGCGGAGTTCGCGGCGTGGGAAAAAATGCTCGATTTTAGCTGATCCTGTACATTTTTTCTGCCTGTTTTATAAGTTTACAATAAACTACCTTTACCGATTTTCTGCGATTTGGTTACCGATCACGAATGATTTTTTCGCTTACACCCAAACTATTGCGCCAAATAGAGCCTAACCTAAATTCTATTGGACGTCGTGATAAGGTAGCGACACCATAATTATTTCAGGCCAAGTGATATATTTTTGTATTTTTTAGTAAACTGATTTTCAACAAATCCATTGGATTTCCATAGTATATTTTGAGAGAGACGTTTATTTAAACCCTTCCTGCACAGACTGCCTCTCGAAGACATGGCACGTAATTGTATTTTTGTTCCCTAAGGTTCGAGTCCACCAGCAGCACAATGTGACCGTGACGAACCGTTCTTTAAATAACCTTCATTACTATTCAGACCAATTCCTGTGTATTCGCTTGTTCGGACATAAAACTCTCTACTTGGTTTTTGGAACTAGGACAAGTTTTTGGAATTCTAAGGCTAGCTATCGTCGTTTGGTAATATCAAAGCCATAAACCTAAGATTGACGAAAGTATACATTGATTAATATAGTAAAATATAACACAATAGTTGATTAATTACTAATTATTATTATTATCGTCAAATTTCCCAATGGAACAGGAGGACACCGGCCCCGAAAATGAACAGTTAATGCGGCCTTTACTTGGAAATTTTAATATTCGGCAAGCAGACGCCACCTCAGAGGCCCGAGGCAACATCAATGCGATGAGTGCTTACAAAGAGCCTGACTATCAAAATATAGCTGAAACCAACCAAAGGTAAGTTCTACGTAGCTATCAGTTTTGGGTGTATTGATATGGAGAACCGTGTGCCTCTAGAATATGCTATTAACATGATGTGGCATAAAAAAGCTATGAAAAGCATAACAAATGAATGGATTCAACGGTGTATTGGGTTGGCTAAAAGGCAGTGGAGGTTTTTAAAATGTTCCGCTTTTCTTTGCATGTCCCTTTATTTGGCCACATCTATACACCACGCAAGAGCGCCTTCTTTCCACGATAATGTGAAGTACGTCTGTTTGCTAAACGGAATGGTTTTTTTTTAAGTTAAAACTCGAAATATGGCCGTTTCAAATGAAAAAAAAATCATTGACGTCGAAAACATGCGAACGCAGCCATATTCGTACTTTGTAGAATATGAACTGCGCGCGTGAGAGGATGAATCATGCTGAGTTTAAAGACGGCATCTGGATGAGACACCGAAGATATATTACGCACCAATTGACTGACTATCTGGGTCGATGACTCGATGAGATTTACTTAAAACCTCCGGGCATCTGTACCCCGTAAACTAAGTAAAGGGTGCAAGAAAACACGCTTTACCATTGTTACTGAATATCTCACTTTGCACCTATTACATGCGGATTTTCCGATAGAAAAAAATCGGTAAATCAGGCAAACTTAGCGTTGCCCATGATTAATGTCACACATAGCAAAGGTCGTTAAGGCCACCCTGCAAGAATTTCAGTGGGAGGTTTCTCTGCACTCAATTTATTCTGCAGACCTTGCGCCGACAGATCACCGCCTTTTCCGAGCACTGGAAAACCAAATTAATAATATATAGAGGACAACGTGGAGGTGTCAAAAACAAATTCCCCAACCCCGGATCTGAACATTTTTTGATCTGGGATTGAAGAACAGATCTGAAAAGTGACTGATCGATAAAAAAAAATAGTCGCAATGAGATCGATAACTTGTTGATGCGATTCGAAAGTAATCCGGAAAGAAAAACTACAATTACTTTTTTGTGACATGCGAGAATAAAGCTCCGTTAGCCCCTATGAAGTGAAAACATTTTGACAAAAATTAGAATAAATCTAATGCAAACATGTGTTTTTATTTAATAACCTACTTATTATTTGCTTATTTTTCAGCCTAGACATCCCTAGCACGAACACTAGTGAAACAACGGTCTGAGTTCGCTCGTGTTGTAAAGGCTGGACAGTATCCAACGGACAAATCACCTTTGTAAATATACAAAAAGAAAAACAAAGATGATGTCGTATTGTCTTGGGAGAGTTCTTCCCGATGATACATCTAGTTGAAAAACGTAACAAACATGTCGATGTATATATACTGTTATAGCAATTGAATAAATTAATTATTACATAATACGATAATTATTACATAGATTTTTACATGTCGTAAAACGATTCAGAGAGTTGGCACTACTATTTATTTATTTTGGTACAGTATGATTTTTAGTGGAGTAATATCTGTTCCATGTGATAGGTTGTGTATCGCAGATTCGTTTGGGTCTAATTTGGTGCCACAATAGATCTCGATGCTAGTACTAATCAGACGTGAACATACGGATACGGAAAAGCTAATTAAATTTACTAACACTAACTATTTATCAAGGGTAATAATTCAAGTGAAGCATCAGGGGTGAAGATTTTGCGACTTGATGTCGATGTATTCGTTACATACATACATACATACATTGCTCTTAAACGGCGGCGCTTAAACCAGACTCTTCGGCTTACATATTCCTTATTGCATTGTTTTTACGGCAAAAAATTAGATTGACTACTTCTAGTATTATAAGTATTAATTGTGCAACTACGTCAGGAGCCTATCCGTTATGTACAAATAAAAGTTGTGGCCTAAATCAAAGGTGAAAACCGTTCTCGTCTAGTGAAAAGTAGAAGTGGAAGCCGTTAGCCTACAAATAGCGAACCTCAAGGTATTACGAACTAGATTAGGGTCTAATAAGGGAAAGTTTTTTCATTCAGCCGTTATATAAAAAAAACTCAGTATTGTGCTTTTTAAAGCCAGCGTTCAATCCGATCAACGGACATAACAATGGCATTACTACAAGCTGACAACGTAGGGGATTTTGAAAGCGCGAAAGGTTCTGCTCCAAAATATTAACAAGGATTCTAGCAGATCGTCGTTTCTCCACTGTACACTTCTTATATTTTTCTACTCAACGGCCTCTGTTAAAGTCCATCGAGGACTTCTGCAATGATCATTTTCATATACCTTTCAGCCCGCGTGCAAGACAAGATGTAAAACCGTTCAGGTCATTGTTGTAGATTCAACTGCGCATATCGAACTTCCAGCATGCATAGAACGTACATTATGTCGAACCTTGTCAGTGCATATATAATATATATTGCGTATATTGTACTTATGGCAAGAGTCGGCTGCTGACGACTAGCGACTAACTGGTCGGTTATGAGGTATTATACATCCGCTACCGGCCGGAACCGGAAATACATTTATTGTGACTATATACTTGGTGCGTCCGTTTCACTCAAACACGCCATCGGACGGAATGCCTTCATCCCATGCCTAATCTTTCGTGATATCTCCTAGGTTGGCTGCGTGAGCGATATATGTACTGCATGACCTGCCTCTTGACGCTAACACCGAAGTTCTAATCTAGGCAGCGGCTTCCGGAGTGTGTTAGACTACTGCCGTGGGAAGTGCAGAACAATGGGCTCTTTGGGCCGGAACGTTTGACGCGGACGGGTTACCGTTTCTGGAATTCATCTCCGCTGGAGAGACGGGCCTCCTGTTGCTGCTTAAATACAGAACACCCGGGGGTTTAGGCTGACAGTAACTTCGGCTAAACGCTTCTAGTAAGCTCTTCGTGACCAAATGGATCGTCCGCTCTACTAGCCTGTTTGGTTGCAGGTAGGCTACGGTGGCTCTATTATGGCGAAAACCTGCCAAATGCTGTTGGACGCACCGATCCCGAAAGCAATATACGTTATCCATGTAAACGGCGCCTATGACACTATATCGGTCCTAAAGAGTAGAAAGGGCCTTACCGGGGCTCGTTGTGTCAATTGTTCAACTAGAAAAGGTGAACGAAACGGGCGTAACAGTCTATAATTATTAGCATTTTTCCTACACGTGTAAAGGCTCCATAAAATCCATGCCTACCCTGGCGAGAGGAGGCATCGACGGTTTTATAGACATCTAAGGCTGGCCTCGCTCATTGCTTGGTCTTGTCCTTTGACAAACTGCCGATACAACCTATATCTTCGCTGAAATATTCTTCTCTATAGATATATAAATAGAAAGATGAGCCGATTAAACTTAAATATCCTTAATTTCAGAAAACAAATACTCGACTGCTCGCGGAGAAACCAGCTAGAGGCCCCGAGGCCCTGAATGGTTCAGCGTGCTTTCTAGTACTAAAAATTGGCCGGCCTTTCTATCTTTCAACGACAAGACAACCTAGCCAATCTATTAGTGCGTGGTCGCCACAAGCGATCCAGAGTCGGTATTGTAATTTTTGTGGAATTTTGCCACTTTTAGGGGCGATAGCTACGGTTTGCCGTGCCTCTCTGGTGCTATATATTGAAATCATATTCTAACATCTTCAAGCCCGATCAGACTAACCAGGCAGAGAGATTCTATGCAGGTATTTCAGCACGCTACTGTCGGTGGCTAGTATCAGCTACTGCCTTTACTGTCCAGACAGCAGCCAAGCGTTTCGTCTCCGACGAGTACCATCTTCCCTCTCGAACTAGCGCTGCACGTCAACGTCAAGCTAAACGGATACCGCCTTCAGGCCAATCCTACTTGCGGCAGGACTTTCCGCAAACACTGCAACATTCGTCCGCTTGTCAAAATCTTTTTTAAACGCGCAGCTAAGTCACCTATAACTAAAAAGCCGGAGATATAACTGTACAATAGCATTCTAATTCCTGATTTTTTTCCTTTCTGCATGACTGACATGTGCAGATGCTGGAACGTCAAGTGGGACTACATTATTTACAGAATTAAACGAAATGAGACTAAATAGACAATAGTTTTCTTCAGCCGGCCATTGGAATAAACAACAATTATTAAAAAAAATCCAATCGTACGCAGTTGGCTTTGAAAACAACCAATAACGACCTTTTCGGAAAATCTTGTAAATGATGCTACCAACTGGTCCTTAAAATGTTTCCGATAGTATCTCTTTTTCTTGTTTAATTATTCCCTTATTCTAGTTTTACCAGATTATCGCTTATCAGTTTGTTTACGTGGACTCAGTTTACTTAGGGTGTCCTTCTGCATAGCTATTTGCATAAGTGAATAGATCCTGCAGGGCATCTTCTCTTATGCATCTTCAATGCAGTCTGACGACAAGGACGATCATACAGGCGATAGAGGTATTCATGGCTGGCAGAAATGTTCAAGGAAATCCGGCCGAAATATCCAACATAAACTTTAAGGTTACTTTCATGGGCCAGGCAGATAATAATGATAATAGACATATTTCTGTGTGTGTATCTAGCACATGTATTTGCATCCTAGAAGACACCTTTATCAACTACTGGCTATGTCGTGGAGCTGAGGATTGCTAGTGTGATAAACACCTTTTTCGAATATTGTTCTAAAGGAAATTATAGGAAATTAAATGTGTCGATTCTGAAATTCAAGGACCACCACTACTATTCTGAGTAATGCTGCATAGATGCATACGTCGCCTGATCAATCGCAGTAAGTGCCAGGCTTATATGGACTCCTTGAGTTCGATGAGGTTTACACAAAGATACGTGTGTGTATCTAACAAAGAAACAGTCTTCAAAGTACGACTAATACTTGAAACAGTGCGCTTGGAAATTTCCTACAATTTCTGCTTGTACAACTAACATACAAATCATGTGACAGAGCAATTACGTACTCAATTCTCTGAAAAAAATGGAACTCGAAAGATAAAATAAAGAAGCCACTAACTAAAGTTCTATTTAACAATTAAAAATAATACGCAAAGTTTAATTTGCTTCTACTAGTGTCGTATTTTTTTACTTACAGCAAAGGTGAAGGGCTCCCCAGTATTAAGAAACAGTGATTCCTTTGCCAGTCTAAAGATATGCGAACATTCAAATCTCCATTGCTTAATAGTCTACTTGTACTGCTGAGTTGATAGGCCGCTTCAATTAGTTTTTCCTCCGTAGCTCGAGTACCGCATTCGCACGGCCTGCGTCGTCGTTTGCTTCCGGCGATTTTAAGAGGAGCAGGCCGAGTGAGAAACTTGTGGAAACAGGATAAACGCAAGAGACACGGCGACCCCTCGTGGATAAACGCGTGTTGCTCCGTGAGTCGATCCGCGTGACAGGCAATCACCTGCAAAGAGTCCCACTCTATGGTCGATGGACGCCCAGGCTCAAGTATTTGCGCTTCCTTGCACATAGTTTGTCGTACTGATAGAGATTTAACTCTGTTAGTTTTTTTTCTCTTCTCAAGTCCATACCGAGCTTGCTTAGAAGATTCGTTTGGGTTGTCATTTTATTAAATTTGCAGCGATATTCTATTATTATATTTATCCTTATGTCCCATCGCAGTTGCTCGAACAATTATTATATCTAACGACAATTTCATGCAGATGAACAGTTTACTATTGATAACTGGATTAGATTACGTTAATTTCTTTCTTTTTGAGAGCTTGCTTTGATCGTTTGCATATACCCACCTCCAAGTGTTGATCTGTTGTGTTCTCGTCATTTCGGTACCCTGGACCGGTTACTGGTTCCTTTTTCCGCGCAATTATTCAGTGCTGTCATTGTCTTCAAGCCCTCATTGGTCTCCCGGTGACCCATGAACGCATTGTTCCCTGTGCGAAAATTTGTGATTTTCGTCTTATTATCGAGTTCGAAAAGAAATATCTCCGCAGTTAGGAAAAACTGTTACAATATACGAACTTGATCTGATGGAGTTTACTTCAACTCGCTGAGAATAGATGTAGACGACTGAGGTACATAGAACTAAATACAGAGACAGTTTTTCTTATACGAAATCGGTTGTCTTTACACTTTTTAGTATGAAGTAGATATTAACAGCTGCTTCGTGGAGGATACCCGAATATCAAACTTTGAAACGTAGAGTCGTGACGGAGGCCGCCGTTCGACGTCATTTTTTATCAACGGCATTTTTGGACCTTTGTTACCTGCAATAAATTTTCTGGAAGATCTAAAAATTGTTAATTAAAACGATTAATTGATTGATCCGCGTATATATAGATGTACGTCAATGACGTCTAGCTATTTTTATGTCTGTTATGTGTTTGTGACTAGTTAATGACTAAATATTTATTTAGTCATTTTATTGTACGTTTGCTTTAGGATATTACGTCTTATTTGGGATATGAAACCCCGAAGACCGTTGAACTGAGAAAGCGTATTGCGTAGAAAAAAAATATTGAAATTTACTACAGCTGCTATAAAACAACGCAAGGTAAAAATATTATAGATATATACACACACATACATATACATCATAGGATGACGGTGTCTACAGAGAAGGATAATTGTTTTTTATAATGATGGTATGTCATTCGAGAGAATTTCTTCAGGCCAGGGATTGGTAAAATCAGCTCGTTTATCAACAATAGGATTGAAAAAATATAAGTCAAAGATCTAACGACTATTAAATATAATGCTCTAAATAAAGGTTTGCCTAATTCAACTAAAGGTTTGGAGGAGTTGTGTCTTCCGGAGTGCTTACAGGATTATAGGTTCGTTATGGCGCTAAAGTTTATTTCTGACACGAGCCATCATTTTCGTAATTTTTTCACGTCATTTTCACGTAATTTCTGCGATAATGTCTGCGAGACACCGTTGCGCTTTCAGGACCGCTGTACAAACGGGCTTAGAAGTGTTATTTTTTCTATGATGTATTATCAGGTTAAGTTAAGTTAGACAGAGGGTACTTATTACCTGCTCCTGCGGTTACGATTATTCTAGGTGCCAGGTACACTATGGTTTAAGCAGGTCAACTGGCCTATAATAACTAACATAGGCGCGAATATTTGCCTAAATAAGCAGGAATTGAATGACATCCCATGATGAAAAATTGAAGAAATGCCTATCTTTTTAAATGTACTCGCGTTGAAACAGTCGTATGACACAAGGCTGCGCTTGGATTCTAGGGCCGCTTTTGACACTCTGTCCTTTCTTCTGTTCATTAGATCGATACAATTATCAGTTATTAATCAGCAGCGGGCAATCTATTGGTGTAATTTTCTAGGGTTTACTAGTGGGACTACAATAGGGAATGTCTTGTATAACAGTAGACCTTTTAGCGGGCCGGCGATGTTTACTATGCTGAAGTCTTTCGTATATGTTTCAGCAATTCAAATATAATTAATTGGATACACGGTACGGGCAAGCTGATCTTGTTAAAGGGGTGACTGTATGAAAATTAAATGTACTGCAATTTCCTCACCATCATGGATATACAAAACAAACAATAGCAAGTTCATTCTGGTGGCAAAACCCTGATGAAGACGGCTTGAAAGGTATAGATTTTTTTCATTTTCACGCTGTTCTGTATACTTAAAAGAGCTCTGTCGTTGGGATCGCTGTTTTTCAAAAAAAAAAAAAATAACGGCACCACCTCATTTTTTATTTTTGTAATACGATAATAATGAATGATGCTGACCTCAAACAGACACCAGGCCAACCTGAGCTGTCGTGTCGCAGCAACATGACAGCATTCTAATGCCCTTACCGATAATTACGATCTGTGGTCGCTGTCGCCTCGTTTATCCAGGCCTTGTGCCTTGAACGCCGCCGCCACTGGCGAAGCCATTACGTAATGGGTAGCGGTGCCTCGCAGGCCAAAAGGGGTAGATACAGGACACTGTTGTGGAAGTACCACGATTCTTTCAGGTATATCCCGCGCAGTGGAACAAGCGTCTATTAGATTTGCCCTGCAGCAGGCCGATGGAACCAACCTCCTGCAGTCAGCAGGTCTCCTCCTTTCTAACAGGTTTTCGTCTCTTTCCCTGTCGCCTTCACCAGTAGACTTCTTTATACTCGTTTGGACTCCTCCATTATTTCTACTGACCACCTTGGAAGAAGCTGTACATAGGCAAACTTGCCCGAAACGGTTTCGTCTGCCTATGTATCCTATTTTCGCTCGACCTGCTGCGTGTTTCTATACCTCTCCGCCGCGCGAGTATCCCAGCGGCATGTCGGAAACGCGCACAGACACTGACGCCGCCGAGGTCGCCGGTGGCTCGCGGATCGTCACCGATGAATGAAACTCTCTAGCTAGTTAAATGAAAATATGTTGGTATCGTTGTTCGCGCAACACGTTTTGCTCACGCACCGCTGAGTTGCGCGAAAGGGCTACGTCATGGCGCATAGCTATCGCGCCGCTAGCACCGAAAAGGACGTGATCTATTGTCCTCACCTCTTGAATTTTGTCGAATATCAGAGCTTCACCCGTGCCGTCACCGCCTGAAACATTCCAGCCAAAGCTACTTCAATGGTGATCTGCTGAACGCCCAATCCGTTCGACTTCGGAGGTGTCTAGATCATGTACAAGAAGATCTCGGTTCGTAAGATATAGTGAACCCTGAATTGCTAACTCGGTGGCACAGAAGGCCGCACCAGGACTGGAAGCAGAAAAAATCGAAAACGAAAGAAACGCAAAGACAGAGACGACGCGGCGGGGAGCGCTCAGACAGAGAGGCTCAATAACTTGATGTGCACGCGTCCTTAGACAAATGTACGCGCAACGATGAAAAGGAGCACCAACCAGTAACGCTAGCCCAGTAACTTCAACCACGACGAGCACCCTTTTAAGGTAAGAGAAAACGTGTACTACCACGCAAGTAGCAGTATTTCTTTTCTTCTCTCGGTTTTTTTCTTTTGCTCTTACCACCGTCGTCGCAGTCGCCATCCCCCCGCCCTGCTGTCCTGTTACTGCCGGCAGTGCCATTGGCACACCAGCGTTTATAGATAGCTCAGACCTGCTTACCACTGGGGCAACTATAACGTATGTAACAGGTCGAAAAAAAATGTACTCACGAAATGCAGCCCCAAGCCAGCCAAATGGCGGCAGTGTTGTGCTGGGAACAAAAGAATATCGTTTATTCTCCAAGGAACCCATACGCGAATAAGGGCAATCTAAGAAATGATGACAATGGGCTGAATGGACGATGAAGTTAGCAAGCAGAAGCAGGGGCAGAGTGGCAGCCGACAGACTGAAGTACGACGAGCGCAGGCGTAACGATCAACTTTTTCAAAGCCGTGGCGCAACGAAGCGCTAAAGCTTGTCTTTCTAGAACATGTGGCAAAAGTTTTACGCTGTGCCATATCAGTGTAAAAAGATATTATAAAAGGTAAGTAAGTCTACGAAGTATTTGACACCGACTTCAAATGTAACGAAATTAGATCGGGCTAAACAGTTATGGTACCGCTGGTGACGATAATCATGTTGTTCCATTCTACATGCGTTCAGCACGCTTATGATTCAAGCTTGCTACACGGCGGCTTCCTATGATGTGGCCTGTCACAGACAGTTCATAAACTCATCAATAAGATCAGCGCGGCAGCTTCTATAATAAGCAGCGGACGCTTAGCGTTAGCGTAAATTATGTACAATCACCACCACCGCTGCTATGACGTCTGTTGCTGATGAGACAGGGGCGACTAAATGGGGAAGGGGTGATCGCGCTCTCTATTCTTCCTCGAAGCTTCGACACGAAATAGCCAGCGAGCGGACTCGTTATACATCATAGGACAGACGGTCATAGTAGGCGCGTGAAAAAAAACCTTTAACTCTATATTTATTAATTTCAATAAATATCTAGATGATGTGAATACGTTACTTCGTCAAAGGAACGGGAGTGTTTGATACCGAACTGGTTTATCGTTATAAACGATATATAATCTGGCTTCGTACAAAAAACTAGAAATTGTGATTCTAGCCTTGTGTGTATATTGTAATATCTAATCACTCAAAGTTCAGATAGAGCCAAACATAAAAAAAAAAAAAAAAAAAGTTCTCTTATCGGAGGTTTTAAC